TTTTCCACAATTTGAAAAAAAATAAAAAAGTGAGGATTTTACAAAAGCGCAAACCTTACATTCATGTTGTCATGACAAGGAGGGGGAATGACTTCCACTTCTCGTGGGTAACTAAGAGTGGGGCCTCTATGTTGTCATTATGAAGTTGGGCGTTCTGAGATCACCGCCGTGGAATTAAGCGAGAGGGATCGGCAAAGCAGCTTCTAAATTTACTTGTCACAAAAACAGAAATACCCACCAAGGGAATATTCATTCCCATCTGCTTTTCCATACGCAGAAATATGCAACGTGTTAGAATTTTTAAAAGGCGTCAAATGGAAAGGGAAAGATGGGATTGACTCCACTTATCCTGGAGTGTTTTTTTTTTTTTTTTTTAAATCGGTTTACGTTGTGTCCTACTGTGGAAGATACAAAATGTGAAAAAATTTGCCAGTGTCATTTTGTCCGTTTCGCCTCATTTTTTTTTTTTCACCACCTTATGTTGGTTCTTTTTTTTTTTTTTCTGCACATTTCTTATCTTCTTTGGGCAGTCCTTAATTGTGGATTCACCTTATTTTATCAATTAAATGTGAAGATATATGTGTGTTTTTATATCCTTTTTCGCTCAACCGAATTGTAGTTGCTTCGTGCCACTTGTACGTTCCTTCTGTGTATTCTCTGCAAGTGAAGAACGTCCAACTGAGGGAGCACACATTGAGTAAACGAAACTGTGATGAAGTTCCTGTAGTAGCATTATTCTTTCCATGTAGGAAAAGCGAACGGCTTCGTTAGCTCACGAAGTGCTATACTTCTTTTGCGTGGTGCAAAAAAAAAGAAGAAAAATCTGAAAAGGGGAAAGCCAAATGTGCCTCCTGTCCAACACCAAACTGAAAAAAGAAAAGAAGGAAAAAAAAAGGAGCAACATAAGCTGGTGAAAAAAAAAAAGCATATTAGCAAGTGGCCACGTTTTCCATGCCAAACAGCGAAAGAAGGCAGAATTAAGCTGTCTGCACAAACGCGACAAAAAGGATCACTGCAAGATGAATCACAAACCATTTTATAACGGACCAAAAGTAACAAAGGAAGATCTAGAAGAAGAATTTGACAAAACAAAGTGTCATCTCAAAAGTAGCTGGGACGAACTCACAGATGGGTCACAATATACAGAGGAAAAGTTGCTACACAGACGAACAAAACAGGACATGTGCAAATCAAGATTCTTCGCAGACGGTAGTAAAAAGAAGCAGACCGGTATACTTTTTAAGGGCACGTCTAAAAAGGTGCATACATATATCGACAGTACAGCTGGGGAGTTCTTATGCCGGGAAAAGGGGTCCATCCCAATTTATGGAAAATTAAAAACTTTTAAAAAAAGAAAAAAAAATCCACATAAAGGTTTTTATTTCAGCCACGTTATATCAAATATGGATAGTGCACCACACACACGTGATGGTAGCACCTATAGTGTTAACATGGAAACCCCCTTTGCGTACCACAACAAGAGGAACTACGACGCCAGGGGGATTAATCCAGACACTGCAGAATTAACAACAGCCAGGGAAAAAAACCTAGATGAGAAGGCAACCATTTCGTGCAGCTTCCATGGGAATAGTAAGAACGATGATCCGCACAATGCTGAACACACCACTTGTGTAAAAGTTGGAAGAGGGGAGAAACGCAATGGGAATAATGGAAGATCGTTCTGGATTAGTAAAAACCAGATGAACATTTCCCGAAAATGCATAGACCAAGGGATGTCACCCTACAGTTCCAGTAAAGCGAACGAACAGGGAAATATCCTCCTAACAACCCAAAGGAGCAAATTTGCCAGAGGAAAGTTACGCTTAAGGATAAGTGGGAAGAATAAAATAGACAAAATGTCGCAAGTACCAGTGGAGGAAGAACTAAATGACGATTCCACTTCCCCTTTAGGCGATTTACTCAAAGGAATAATGCCCAGAGGAGGGGGAAAAAAAAAAGTTAACTACAGAGCGTTAGTAATGAAGAACTACAAAAATAGGGTCAATCATGAGCGACATGCGGATCAACATAATGAGAAAAAAGAAGAATCAAAAGAGGTAGCGGTAGATTACGATATAATGTCGAAGCATAAGAGACAAAAAGGAAACCCTCACGTGCGAATATGTGTCAATAAAGGGAATATACAATACTCTGATCCGAAATACACTATCGATTCTGTTCAAGAATGTGCATCTCTTGACAGAAAAATGCAGAATTACCTAAATGAGCAGCTTAAATATTATGGATCCAAATTGAGAAGGGAAAACCTCGAACATGTTTGTCTCTTCCTCCGGAAAAGGCCTCAAGGGAGAGTTCCCCATGGCGCGGCCAGGAGGTATATACTGCACTGTGAAGTGGAAGTGCGTTCTTAAGAGGCACATTTTTCAGGCTACTCTTTTAACCACGCATCGGCGTCGGTCTATTTAAGCAATGCTGCGCATCATTACAGCCGCTACGCAAAATCATTGTCTCCTTCCCCCCTTAATCATTCCCAACCGAAGCCACCGCATTGATGAAGATGAAGAGCCAAACGTGCCAACCCGCCCGTGTAAAAATTGCAGAAAGGAGATAAACCTCAGAAGCTACATAATGGAAGGAGATGACAAAAAAAACAGCGCGAGGATGATGACTAATGCGAGGGACATGGCCCCTGCAATATCGGGCGAAATAATGAAACAAATGAGAGGTCGGGAGAAAGAAAGAAATGAGGGACAAACGAGGAATTTAGCACACAAAAATAAACTGACAGACGAGTTAAAAAATTTAAAAAAATTGCAAAAAGAGCAAATCAACTTCTTCACAATTTACACACATTTAACCAATGAAAAAAAGATTTTAAAGAAGATACTAAACCGACAAACAAGGGACAATAGAAAAAATTATTCAAAAAAATTAATTCAAGTAAAAAAAAATATTACCAATTTTGTTACCCTTTTGGAGCAAATTCTTGCAAAAATAGACGCAGAGAAAAAGGGGCCATATGCCCCAACATACCATGGAGACAGACACTATCATATTAGTTGCCTCCTAAAATTGGTGGAGGACGTTATAAGTATTGTAGCCGATCATTTCTGTCACGTGGAATAAATTATGGACATAAAAAATATTACGCTCAAGTGGGGGGTGTAAAATTCCCTGTGTTGCCTCCTGAGAAGGGTGGGAAGTACCATTTGGGTGATAATCGTTGAGGGACGTGGTCTCCACCATTTCTGCGTGACAATGCAGCAACAGACGAATGAATAATCCGCGTGTGGAATATTTGTTTGGCCATTTTTTCATCTCCCCATTAGGTGGGAAAAGGGATACATTATGCACCAATTTGCGCGTCATCTTTTCTTCCCCAAAAAATTGTTCAACTTTATTTTGTCGAAGAAACTTATCTTGCTTTTTGTGACTAAGAAGGAGAAGAAAAGGAAAAAAAGGAAAAAAAAAAAAAAGAAGTGAGCGGGGGGGGAAATAATCGCCGTGATGTGAACGAACTGGTGCACCATAATAAGAGGCCTTTTTTTTTTTTTTCTTTGGAAGCTCCTAAAGGTTCGCCTTGTGAGCTAAGGCCACCCCATAGAGCTTTCCTTACTACGGTTATTCAGCTTGTATGTTATGTCTTTTTTTCCTCCCTCCATATCCTGTGGCGCGGTCTGCAAAAGAAGAAAACGACTCAAGCGCCATAGCGAAACGGGGCAGCCAAGCGGAGCCGCAAAACAGAGGAGCAAAGCAGAGCAGTGGAAACGGAGCAGCGAAACGGAGACAATTTCACATGGAACAGCTATTAAAACGTGTTACGGGGCACACCCTCATGACGTGGTTTTCCATTCTTACCGTTCGCGTGTCCAACGAGGTGCCCCACGGGTGCAAACCTAAACGAGCTTTCGAAGAATTGTAAAAGGGAAAAAAGGTGAGTAAGGGGGTGATCCTCTGGTTTAAAAAAAAAACAATATGCCTGTCTGTGCATTGCAAATAGGAACCTAAACGAACGACTCGATTAAGCTGCAGATGATGAGAAAACGTCCTTTTAGAACGCTCCCGGATGTACTAAAGACGCCTTTTTATAGTGCCTCTTCCCCACAGTGTATTAAGCTTTAGGGGTGGACTATCCCATGGAACATCCGATTCACGACTCGCCTGGATCACCGTCCTTTGCTGTTCCTTACCATTCGGGGTGCTGATCCAGCCAATTTCATCACCCAAGTTCTGTAACCCCACGAGATCGCGAGACTCTAGTAGCAGCACCCGGGACCTCCTCTCTGAAAGTACCAATTCGACCACACCTAGGCCAACTTCATAAGTGGGTATCTCCTGTACATACAATTTATCCACATCGATATTAAACACTTTTCTGTTTCTTGCTATACAGACTCTTTTAGACGCATAGTCAAAGGACACGGTGCAATTTCTCGTGATGACGTTCGATTCAGCTGAAAAGGGGGAAATGAGGAGAAGGGCGTGGGGTTGAAGCGGTGCTGGTAGGTTCACGGCTGTTTGTGCACCCTCACTGGGTCCACTGCTGTAGTACGCTGTTGTAGTAGGTTGCTGTTGTACATGGCTGTAGGACGCTGCTCTGTTCCCCTCATGACGCAACGCGTCTACTTTTCGTGCACCTTACATAACACTATGTGAGCGTAGGCCTGGAACCCCCTGCTGAGATACTGTTGCCTTTTCTTCTTTTCTCCCTCCAAGGATCCATTCACTTCTTGCAACCCTCCTTTCGGGAAATCGCCCTCCCTCCTCACTGAAACCGCAGCTGCGTTGGCGATGTTTTGTTCTTCCTCTGATTCCTCAGGGTCTGATTTTAATCCGATGCTCATCTGGTGGCTCCTTTCGCTGCTCAGTTGGTGACGCAGCTGATGGCTCATCTCATCGCTCTGCGAGTCGCTTAGTTGACGCCTGACATAGTCCCGCAAATTCCCTAAAGAATTTTTTGAGATGTCCCTGGAGGGACTCTTAGCCAGTTCACCAAACGAAGTGGAACTCTTTCTGAAAATATTATTATGAGTTGTAGCATAAGGACTGTTAGCTAATCTGAAAGATGGCATATTTATGGGTCTGCTTTCCCCATCCAGCTTGGTGTCTTCCTTACTGGACATTGTTGAGATTGACTTTATGACATCCGCTTCATTGCAGTTTGAGTACCTATTGGGTTGGACCTTTTCTGGTCCGTGTGATCCCTCTCCAGAGGCTTCTCTACATTCATTTAGCTCGTTCAAAATGTGGCTGTTTTCCTCCTGAGCGATCTCCCCCTGGGACAGATGATACTTAATACAATTTTTGGAACTCTTTCGACTCACATTATGCGACGTAATGCTGATATCTTTTAAATTTTCATTAAAGACAAATTCTTCAATTTTCTTGTTCGTTTTTTGGTGACTAGGGTTCTTAGGAATATCTGCCTCCGCGTGACTCTTCTCTATAATGGATGCCAGCCTGCCCAGTGAGTACGTTCCAACGGTCACCGCTTCGTTAGCTCCGCTGCCTTTTTTTACTTCTTTGTATAGGTTCATATATCCATTTTCGTTTTTGTTATAGATCATGGTGTTGTGACCTAGCCTCATGTTGTCGTAAGCTAGATTCATGTTGTCGTCACCTAGCTTAATGGTGTTGTCTTCCTTGGGTGAGTCATCCTCTGGGTGCCTCTCCTGCTCGGTGAAGCGGCCGCGTAGGGGGTGTGTATTCATTTTGAATTTTTCACCCCTTTTGGGCTTCTCAGCCAATTTGGATGTTTCACCCCTATTCACTTTTTCGCCTTTGTCCATTTGGGACTTCTTCTCAAATGAGCCAGTACACTTTCGAAGCGGCGCATCGGCCCCCGCTTTGCGCAGCCTTCTGGTCTTCTTTATTTTTCCGATTTGGCTTTCCCATAGGGGAGAATCCATCTGCGGGGGGAACGGATGGACTGCTTTCACCCTTTCGGCGAGGGGTACCTTCCCCGTGAGCCTCTTCCCCATTGGCTGTTTCTTCCCCTCCCCCCCATTAAGGTGCATTTTGATCCGTCTCAAATTTTGCGATTTCCTAATCGGACCCGTCTCCTTATCACTGCACAGGTAGATAGCTTTGAGGTATCTTTCCTTTCTCCTTTTCAGCTTGGAAAAGATGCTCTCCATGGAATTTTCTTTGCTACTCCCGGGGCAGCGTTTTTCCTTTCCTAGAGACCATTCATTGGTGTGGACGGGGGTGCGATTGCTTCCGCCAACCTTGCCTCTCTCTGCGCCTTTACATTTTTTCTCCTTTTTCCCAAGATTTGCTTCTTCGCCGTTTTTTTGGTCCCCTATTTGGTTTCGTTTGAGAATGCGAAACGCCATGGCCTCCGCATCGTCGTAGAGATGAACTTCTCTAATGTTGAAGATGGCTCTTCTGTAAAAGTCGAAAAATTCTTGTTTGCCATTCAGCTCGTGGTCCCGGAATAGACGTTTGCACATCCCGTCTGTCCTTTTCGTGATGACAATTTTCTCTTTTTTTTTCTGTTCATTCATGTAGGAGAAGTCGACATGATCATCTGACCACTCGTTTTCCTTAAACGATTTTTTTAAAACGTTTTCATTGTTTTTCCCTTTTATGAAAATGTCCTTTGTTAAGATACCATTGGGATCCATTTGGAAAATTATTTTTTCTTTTTTTTTCCTATTCAGTATGACTTTTTTTTTATTTCCTACGTAGAAGACGTTATTTCTGTTGAAAAGGGGGTTCTTTTTCTGGGTTTTGCCGTCCTGTGGCTGTCCGTCTGTGCTGTCCTGCACTTCTGACTCGTCACTGCTGCTGCAGAAGAAATAATCATACTCATTCATGTGGATAATATTTTTCTCCCTCCCTCCATATGGTGTAAAGAACTCAATGGTGGCATTTATATTGCCATTGTTATCGGTGCCAAAGGTGGTGACCGTTCTATTTATCCCTAAAAGGATACGTTTCAAATCACTTAAATTGTTCATTCCTCCCTTCGAGAGGGACCCATCTGCAGAGGAGGTATTGCTTCCTCTTTGTCTTAATAAGTATGATTTACTCCGACAAATGCGGTTAAATTTTTTCCTCAATTTTTTTCTATTTTGCAATGCCAAATTTCTATCTCCTAATTGGAAAAATCGGAATGGCTTAATCTTCCTATGTGGGTCGAAGTATTCTGTCTCGTTCAATTCATCAGCCGCGTACAGACATCGGATGCAGTTTCGCGTTGAAAAATCGTCTTCTAAAATGTCGCTATGGGGGAAGCGTTCCAAATGTGGACCTTCGTCTTTTGCTGCTTTCACGTTTTTTTCACCTTCCCTATATTGTGTGCCATCCAGTGGTCCACTCGTTTCTTCACGTTGAGGCTCCCTTTCTGAAGCAGAGAGGTGGGCACAGGGGGAGAAATATATCAGTCAAACAGTGCCACAATATCGAATGTTCAAACGCTCAGGTCAAGACCACTCATGCCGGTTTTGTCCCCCCTTCTGGACGGAGAACTTCTACAAAGGATGTTTTGGCAACCCTTCTAGCTAGCTCCCCAATGATAAACACTCTTAGTCCTTCTCAAATTTACACCTGTAAGTGGCTGCTTCTCTTTACGGGGTTCTTCATCTTCGGTCTATCCTCATCGGAATGGAAAAAAAAAATAAAATAATAATAATAAAATGAAGTCATTCACATGGACATACATAGAAAAAAAAAAAAAAAGGATAAAATAAAATAAACTAATCTGGAGTGGCATCCTTGCCGCTCGTTCGCAGAACTTATCGCGACTGTCACTTGTGCATGCACTCTGTGTAGTGGCACAACAATCAGTTTGTTTTTTCTGCTTATCCTTTTTTTTCAGCTTTTTTTCACGAACCAGCGTGTCCTCGGCAGAAGCCCCGCCAATGTCACCATCCCTGGGCGTGGGTAGTTCCTCCTGCCACAGCTCAGCCACGATGTCCTCGTTGTATCTCATTAACAAATGAGACAGCGTGTCGCAAATGGAGCATATTTTCTGCAGATACTTTTTGTTCTTATTCTCGCTCTGCTTCTCCTGTAGGGGTGAGAAGTAAAAAGGGGAGTAGCAATGAACCGGTGCACCAAAGGGGGGCAGAAACTTTCGTCATGCATGTGTCGACACACATACACAACGTTGCACATGAATCTTTTGCTCCGTCCACTTTTCCTTTTTTTGAGGAGATTACTATCAAGGTATATAACTCCATCGCCGCGGAAATGGCCTTTTCGATTTTCTCATCGATGCCTGAAATGGGAAAAAAAAGAAAAAAAATGAAGAAATATGCTGACAAAATATGGTGCCCATATTTTTCAACACGCGCAAGAAAAGGTTTGAATAGGGCATCCCACCAAAATGTCATTTTCTTTCTTTTCCGTTTAACCTCGGTTAAGTTTGCTTTGCGCCTTCTTTCCCTTCAGTATTTGCATGTATAGGAAAACAACCAAGTGGAACTCTACTCAGGGGGACAAGAGTTCATGGAGTGGGGATGAATTTACCCACCGTTTCGGTTGGCACGATCGTTGGCACATTGTATGCCGCATGGTGTCATGTGCACCCATGATATGCATGAACCATGTGTCCATTGTTTAAAAAAATGCCATTTGCTGTTTTTCCTTACGCTCGGTGATTATTTTCCCTTTGACTCTTTCTGCTATGTGTAGATTGTCAATGTATGCGCGGCCTATGGTGTCTTCGAGGGGTTCTTCAGTGGGTGCACATGGAGGGGGGGGAAAGCATAAAAGAGGCATAAAATTAGGGAATAAGAAGAGTGCAGCTTCTCCGACATGGATTGGAAAAACACCTTTTTTTCTCATTCTTGGACATATTCCTACGCAACCGCAGATGCACTAACCTCTGGCCAAGAGAAAAAGGTTTCCATTCTTTTTGGCGAAACATGACGGGGCACCACCTAACTGATGTCTCTCGTATGCACACGAACCGCTTGAAAAAAAAGTGGAAAATTAGCAAAATGGCTAAGTGGAAAATTAGCAAAATAGCCAAGTGGAAAACTAGCAAAATAGCCACGTGGTGAAGTGGGAAAATGTGTTCCCTGTGGAGTTCCTAAATTTCGAAAGGACAGATAAACATTAGAAAATATTTTCAGTTACGCGTTCAGGTTGGGATCTCCGGGAGAATGGGCAAGTTTGTTGTTATCCATTGGGAATTAGGCCTAGGCGTGGGGCTCGATTGCTTTTTGGTTTCTCTGCGCCAGCGGTTGCTGTTAACAGACGTGGAGTCACGATTCAATCGCTGCCTTCTTTTTGTTTCATTGCTTTTTGTTTCACTCTATTTTGGTTTTCTTTGTTCTGCGTTGTTCTATTTGGTCCCATTTAGTTGTTCGTTGTTCCATTTCGTTCTATTCCTTTCCATTTCGTTCTATTCCGTTCTATTTCGTTCTATTTCACTGCATTTCATGTAAATTTTTTTTCACACATGGTGCGAAATTAGAAAAATAGCCTCTTGGTAACGTACAAAACTGAGAAGGGTGCCTAAGGTTGCCGCCAAACATTGCACGGGTGAAATTTTTTTTTTTTTTTTTGGTGCCCACTAGGGTTAAGCAGTTTTGAAAGGTGCTTTGTTAAAGTGCCCTGGTAGGTTACATTCGCGCCGCGAGAATAACCGCTTGAGGGTTTCCCCCCTTACGACGAACTTTATTTCGCATTCTTTAATTTTTTTTCGTGCCATTCGAGTTATATCTTAAAAAATTGAGCATGCGCGATGGGCGATTTCGCCGCAATGAGTGTTCTTTACACATAAGAGGCGGTGGGAATGTGGCAGGGCAGAGTTTCGCACACCGGAATGGAAACGCTTGGGAGGGACTAACCAGGAATTATCTCACAATTGACCACACGATTGGCCAAGCAACTGACCAAACAACGGACACACCAGGGGACACTACCCTGTCGTGCAGAACCCTACTCCAACGCAACCACTTCGATGTGGTAGGAATAACTCTAATTTGGAACAACCATTACGGAAATGTCATTATGTAAAAAAAAAAAAATTCCCCTTGCGCAGCGAAATGTGAAGGTTTTACGACCAGATAAGAAACACAACTGACGCGAATAACAATAGTTCGGGGAGGGGGATGAAGAAGGAAATGGCTAAATGGAGTGGGGGAGAAAAACTACGACGTGGTTATCACGTAACGATGTTATTATGTTGAGGAGAGAAGAACGAACCCTCACATGGTGTGCTTCCTATGGGGAGAAATAACTTCACTAGAAAGGGAGGGGTCAAGAAGTTTCCGCCTTGCAACTACGCGCGCAAGTGGGTGCATGCATGTACATAGGCGGATAAAGCTGCAACTAGATGTTCATTCGTCTGCATGCCCCTCTACCGGTAGGGCAGGGCAAAATTGCGAAGAAGAAAGCAGGTTGTTGGAAGGTCTCTTTTATGCAACGGGAAAAAGGAAGAAGTTTTTTTCTCTTTTTTTTTTTTTTACCCTCTGGACGAACCGCTAAATAGAAGAAGGAAAAAATATTTTTTTTTATGTTCATTTTTTCGTTTTCCCCTCCGAGTGGGAGTTCTTTCCTTATGATGCGAATGCTGATATGATGACCTGACCCACGTACGAACACGTGGTAACCGCAGTCACGTCTCTGCTGTGACTACCGGGAGGACGCATCGCCGCAAATGGGAAAGAGCAACAGTGGTATTCTCCATATTAGATATGGCGACTTCGTAGGCATGCCGAAGTAGTGTAACCCATGCGCATATGTATCACATAAATATAAGGGGCAATTTAATCCCATTTGAGGAGGCTGCCTCGTGAAAGTTCTTACTCCGCGCGTAGAAATTTTCTCCGGCTATACAAAAAAGATGAACCAAATTAGCGAGAAAAACAAATCTTTTGAAGAGAAGGAGAAGAAGAAAATCCACTGTGCCATCCCGAAATTTATATTGAACAATGAGCTGCTGCAAAAGGCTATAAAAAAGAGCTTCCCAGAAAATTACAATTTCGAAATATACAAATGCATTGACATTATCCTAAGGGAAAAATTTAAGAACATCGTGCTGCAGTTACCCGAGGGATTGCTAATTTGGGGATTGTATATTTCGGAGATTTTATACTTTTTTTGTGACTGTGTGGAAGACGTTATTATCCTGGGAGATGTCACCTATGGTGGATGTTGCATTGATGATTACACAGGAGAGAAGCTCAACTGTGATTTGATCATTCATTATGGACATTCCTGTTTGGTTCCTTTGACTGTGACAAGAATACGATGTATTTACGTATTCGTGGATATAAAATTAAACACTTCCCATCTGGTGGAGACGATAAAAAAGAATTTCAACAAAAGTGACATTGTTTTACTCCTTGGCACAATACAATTTTCCTGCCTTGTACACAATGTGCATAGCATTTTAAAGAAAGAAAATCATTTTGACCTTTTTCTGCCCATCCCACAAGTGCTTCCCCTGACCAAGGGAGAGGTACTCGGGTGCACTTCCCCCAATTTGTATCGCTTTCTCTATGAGCACCTTGTGAGGGAAGCAGAAGGGGGGAGGGGGGTTGTGGAGAAGGAGGAGTCCAGTCAAAATCACCGCTCATCAGGCGAGGCAGCACAAGCGGAGAAATACCCCTCTGGAGCTATCCCCCCAAAGGATAACAATGACAATCATCACAGTGAAGCATTCATCATGAACGAGTGCAGACGATTTTTACAGAAAAATCAAGTCAAAATTGTCTTCATAGCAGATGGGAGGTTTCATTTGGAAAGCTTGATGATACACAACCCCGATTTTTCCTTTTACCGATACAATCCATTTAACAAAATAATGACGACGGAAAAATATAACTACAGCCTTTTTCACGAAATACGAAAAAATGAAATAAAAAAATGCTCCAACTGCAAAAGTGTGTGCATTATTTTAAGTACTTTGGGAAGACAGGGAAATGTCAACATTTTACAAAACATTTTAAATCTTGTCAAACAAAAAAATATTTTCTTTTTTATCCTTTTATTGTCCGAAATATTTAATGAAAAATTAGCTTTATTCAAAAATGTCGATGTTTTTATACAAATCGGCTGCCCAAGGTTATCCATCGACTGGGGCAATTACAACTCGAAACCTCTCTTAAATAGTTATGAAGCGTATGTTTTTTTGCAGGCAGTTACATATAGAGAGATATACCCCATGGACTACTACGCCAACTTGGGCAATGTGTGGAGCAACTACAATGCTGGGATTGGCGACACGACTGAGAAAAACCTATCCATACGGGAGATTATCCGTCGGCGCATTCAGCTTCGCAAAAGCAAAATTAGCATTCGATATCAGTAGTGTGCAGTGGCAGAAAAAAAAAGGCGGTTAAACTGTGTCCTCCACACGTATTCTCTTTCTTCTTCCTAGTTTTGTCATTACGAAGATAATTTTTTTCACCACGTTTTTTCGTGTATAATTGCCCTCTTCACGCGTTGCGAAATGGCAACCTATTAGTTCCTTTATTTATTTATTTTTTTCTTCGATCACCGTACATAGTAACTACAACCACGCTGCTCCCGTTTGTATTAAAAACGTTCTGCAGAAAATGGCTCCCAAAATGGTATTTGAAAGATGGAAATGACACCTTTTTCTTTTATGTCAGTGCGCGCGCGGTTTGAAATCAATCTGAACAATTTTGAAAAAAAGTTTGCACATTTTGGAAGGGAAAGGCGTCACGGGGGTTCCTCAAAACAGCCTTACAGTTTCACCTACCTGGTTGCTACCCTTTGGCAAGCTTTTCTTTCCCGTTGCATCATCTACTATGCCGTAGTTTTTTCGACCCATCTGCTTCCACCTCCATTGTCAAAGCATTTCACCTTGCTTTAATTTTAAAAAAGAATACATGTCGCCATGTCGGCTGTTCGACACGTCGCCATTTCACCATTTCGCCTTTTCTCCTCCGCGAAAATGTGATGCAACACGCACTGTTACTGACTGCGGGAGAAGCGCAAGCTTTCTGGAAACCCTTCCATGATGCCGCGTAATCGTCCGCACGTATGCACATGTATTATAACGCCTTAACGATTTACGTTTCACGATTCACATTTTACCTTTTACTTGCGCATCGTTCACTTGGCGCTTTCTGACATGAAGAAATCGAGCGGGAGGGCTGCTTAACGCATTTTTTTCTTCCTTGCATTTTGCTTTCTCCTATTTTGCATCCTCACATTTTGCGTATCCGTTAATCTGTTCGTTCCATCTGATAGGTGTTTTTGCGATGACATTGCGTTACACAAATGTGGCGTTTTGTTTTTTTTTTCTCATTTTTCTCCACACTTCTTTTGAATAAAAATAAGCAGAGCGAATGGGAGCGAAAGAGAGATTAATCAAATTTGCAGTTAACATTTGTCAATTTTTAAAGTTGTAATTTTGGCTGTATGATTTACATTTATGTAGCTTGTTATCTACTGCAATATTTTTGCAATATCCTTTTTTTTTTTTTCGACTTTCTTTTTTTTTTTTTGTTTTACTCACAGAATTGATGTTTCGCCATATGCTATGGAGAGAGAGTATTGTTATATGAGCATACGTGAAAATATTTGTATGGACAGTATGCCCGTACTTTTTGCGCGAACTCTTTTTGCTGGCCCTTTGCGCTCGACGCTTGCGTGGCCGCTCTCGCAGAACCAGCTTTCCAGGGCCCCAATTGGATCTCCATAAGAATTCCTATTAGGGCCACCTGCGGCTAGCTACCCCTTCTGTAGTGTTCGTTTGGTATGCCGTACACACGATCAGCAGGCGGCCACCTCGGCGAACGCCTAGTTGCATATTTCCCCTGCACCCCCTTTACACTCCTCTGGCTTCGTAGTACCATCTCCGGCGCTGTAGTACGTATAGCAACATACGAGCGTGAGAGGTTTGCCTAAAATGATGTGCGTCCTGTGATAAATTCTTAGTGAAGAAGACTTTTCCACGTAGAAGACTTACAGACGTGTGTAGCGTTACGCCCGTGTAGGGTTATCCTTGTGTAGGATTATACGCGCTTTGTGTATACATGTTTGTGTAAGCTATTGGCCTAGCTGCGCGGATTCGCGAAATAGAAAAACACATTGATGCATACTTTTTGCACCAATCGAGTTGTCGGATTTTTGTCGCCCTGTTTTTCCGGCACCCTGCGTTTCGTTATTAGTATGCTCCGCGTTTGGTCCCCAAGTGGATGCGCATTTCGACCTACTCATTCGTCTCCCCCCCCGTCGGAAGTGCTCGCCTCTGTTTAGCTCCCAAGCGGTGTAGCGGTATTGTAGTATTGCGATATTGCCCCATTGCTTCATTTCAGCATTGCGGAGTAGCAACTTTTTGACGTATAGCCGCAACAGCGCAGCACCTCAGGACTGTGGTACCTCTGCGTGACGCTCCTCAACCAAAGAACGAGCGCGGCTCGCTCACCCGAAAATGGAGGAGATAATCATCCATATGATCATCATCGCGCCACTGACCAAGTGGCTAATAGGGCAGAATAGGTCATGGAACAAGGGCAAGCGAGAATACGGAGTGTACATCGCGCTGATGCTCCTCTTCTGTGTGGGAATATACGAACTGAGAAAATCGAACCAAAATTTGTACGAAGTTCTGCAGATAAAGTCATATGCATCAAGGACAGAGATTCAGCAGGCCTTCAGAAGGTTATCCCGAGTGTACCATCCGGACAAAAACAAAGAAGCAGATTCATTCGAGCGATTTACGAGAATAAGGGAAGCATACGAAATTTTATCAAATGAAAAAAAAAAATACATATATGACAGATTTGGTGATTTTGCTGGAAGCGAAATTACCAATTTTTTTTACGTGGAAATTATCATCATAGCGATATTTCAATTTGCCATTTCATTTATCTTTGGTTTTCTCTATACCTATGGAAAAGACAATGAGAAGTATCGAATCTTAATTTGTTTGTACATTGGTCTGAACTTTTGCATGGAGCTAGTTTTCCGATTTAGTCCCGAGAGTACTCACTTCCTATCGTTCCCTCCCATTTTCTGTCACTACACGCCTTTCGAGAGGATCCATTCTCTGAGGGTGCTAGTCCCCCTTGTGATGAATGCCATCCTCCTGGTCGATGTTTACTTCATCGATGAAGACACGGATCTCTACCTGTCCACCTTTTGCGAATATGTCTTTGAGAACAGCCATAAAACTATAAAGAACATGGACGACGCCGTAATCTTCTGTGCCCGTTTGGTCGATGGTAAGGAGGGACATCACGCGAGCGCCCCGACGCGATGAACAGGCGCGTGTGTGCAAATTTGATGATTGTCGAGAATGCGGTTACTTCAATGAGTACCTTTCTCGTTTTGTTGTTTCTCCATCTTTTCGTCGTTTCCCCCTCTTTTGGTTGTCTTCCCTCCTTTTCGTCGTTTTTCCCCTGTGTCCATTTCCATTCTTCTCACCCCCCCCTGCAGGCAAAGTGAGCAAGGCGAACAACTTCTCCTGGAGGGAAAAGGACCCCTACAGCGACATGGCCAACATTGACGAACTGGAGGATGACGAAACGTATGACAAGAAGTGCGACAAGAATGATCTCTTTTACAGGCTACTATATAACGTGGTCGAAACAAGCACAGAGGACGTGGACCTGAAAATTCCCAAAAAGGCTCTCTGCCGTCGTTTCGACTGGTCCAGATTGTACACGGATAGCGTTATGGAGAAAAACACCGAGGAGGTTCGATTAGCCGAAAGCGCAAGTTGTGTAAATGCGCACATGGGAGGAAAAAAAAAAGAAAAAAAAAAAATGAACCGCCACGGTTTGCAATTAACCACGCATATGTGTCTGTAAATTATTTCTCCTCCCTGTATACACTTATTCCCATTTGCGCATTTTTCCTTTTTCCCCACTTTACAGAAAGACTTCGAAGAGAGCAACACGTCCAAAGGAATCCTATTTTCATCTCTGCTGTACTTTATTGGTTTGATATCTCATTTGTTATCCAAGTGATGTGAAGAGGTGTGGCCAGTTCGGCCACTGCGGCGCCTTCGTCTTGTCTGCGCACATATGGCACATGAGCGGAAGGCACATTTAACACCCTACCGCTGCACACATGTGGCACGTTAGCGATGCACAAATTTGACTTTTTAATTTTCTCCCCTTTAACCCCCCCCTTCTTGTTATTTCGTTGCTGTCAATTTTGCTGCGATTTACTCTGCTTTTTTCTCTTTTTTCGCATATTGCCCCTCCTTGAGGGTTCCCCCAAATGCCATGTTTTTGTTCTTCATGCACAGTTCTGGGAAATACACACGAAGACGCTTATCACTCTGTCTGCACGCAAAGCTGCTACACACATCAGTTGTTTTGTTCCTTTTTATATTTATTTTCCAACGCTTCAACTAAGTACTCCATTGCTGCAATTTTGCAAAGAAGGGAAGGAAAAGGAAACGCATCATATGAGGGCTACGACAAGAAGGGCGCAGGCACAGAAGAGGTGATCACAAAACGATTCTCAAAATGGAAACGTAAAACAGCTGCGCTGTCTTCTGTGTTTTTCCTTACGGTCGCTGATATTGCCTTCTGGTGGGGGTAAGTCTTGGGGGAAGAGTGGTGGAGAAAGAAAAAAAAAATAAAATAATAAAATGAAGAAATGAAAAAATGAAAGAATAAAAATGAAGGAAACGTGGTAGCGACACGACAAGGGCACGCCCCGCCGGTGGCATAGACAAATGTGCGCATAGTTAATTATGCGCTCATACGATCATGTGGACATGCCACTCACTCAGGGACATTAAGATGAAATTCAGGTGAGACGGCAGGGACATGTCGAGCGACTTCAAATTGGGATTCAAAGCTCTGCTATTTATTAAGTCCATGATGTCGTACTTGTTCTGATACCCAGACGGCATGTGCCTGCGCGTGTTTCGAAAAGAGGTGTTCCCCAGATGAGAATATGCAGGGTTATGGTTCGAATTGGACCAAAGTGGCAGCGGCGGAGAGGCTCATCCATTGGTCGCATCGTCGGTACAAATGGGCATATAAACCACACACATATGCAAATCGTTCGCGTCTTTATTTCTCTGCTTCTGGTGGCTTATAACATTTTCAGTTCCTCGTAGGCTTCCGGTTTCTCAAGCAGTTTAGAAAAATTTTCGCTCACAAAGAAGTCCTTAAAGGAGACCGCTACCAATTGGAAAAAAAAAAAAAAAAGAGAAGTGTCATTTTTCATTTCAGACACTAGTGTACAAGTGGAGGTATACTAATTAAAGGAACAAAATGGGAAAACATCTGAAGCATTTTTCTTTGCCATTCGTAATGGCTCACACTTCTTCGAGTCAGGGCCCTGCAAATTTCTGTTGTGCGCAAATAGCAAGTCGGACAACCCAGACGAGTAGTCATTTGGGTTATATCTCCTTTTGCTCCCAATATCTGCATTGGGGTGAGATAAAAGGGAGCGAAAAAGGAAGGGACATGTCACAGGTGCGTTACTAGTTATGTATATAAGCCTTCTTAGAGCTGCACAATTGTGAATGCCTCTCCCCCCATTCACAACAAACGTCGGAAGCGATACAGCAGCCCAACCACAGCGCAGGCCTCACCTTTGGACAAATCGTTTGCTATGATGGAGTTGAATTTATTGACGAACACCTGCGCGATGGGGGTGATATTCAAAAATGAAGTCCATGGTGTGAAGGGGATGCCCATATGCGGCAAGATAGGGGTAGTCAGCCAACTGGGATACTGACCAACTGTACCAATTGGGCCATGAAAAAAAAAAGATAATCCTTCCTTCTACCCCCAAAATAAATGCTTTAACTTACTTCATCCTTCGAATCATCATAGTCTTGCATCCAATAAAAGGAAACCTCTCCTGGGAGGGGAAGACAAAAAAAGAGGCATAAATTTATATGTGTGTGATGATAACCCCATAGAAAGGCACCCAGTCGTTTGGACGGTTCAATTGTTATATATTTAGCGATTTCTTTGTTTTTCTCCCTATCATCCCTTCACCTTAAGAGGGCCAAGGCGCAACGATGCGTTCGGTCTCTTCTCCCATTTGAAAGGGTAACGTATTTGGGTATATTCTAATTTTGTCTTACCTCGCAATTTGTTCCTCAGGATATACACGCGCCCAGTTCTGCACTGCTCAACTCTTTCGAGGGATATACTTTTGGTTAAAATCAAATTGTCCTAAATGTAATGAGATGGGGAGACACATACGATTAGCATCATCTTGTGGGAGGTGGTAGAGTCTGTTGGGTCGCTCAACACGTTCAAGTAAAAAGTGTCTGCATTATTTGGGGTCATCTCTTTTCGCCTCTAAATGAATACCTCAACTTTGTTATTTTCCCTGTTGATCCATTGGAAGTTGTACAGATTGTCGCATATCTGTTTTTCATTTTTTCACAATAGGAATAGTTTGCCAGTTAAGGGGGGGAAGAAAAAATAGTCAAATTTGGAAACGAATAGAAGCACAAATTAACAAACGGGAGGAGGTAGGGTTCCCAAACGTCACTTCTATCACTGCTCGCCGTAATTGATGAAGATCACTGCAGCATGTTGTTGAAAGGCGTGAATCCATTTTTCTTTTACCTTATAAAGGACAAGTTTGCCCTTTCGGTTATCGGGCTTCACAGTCTTGCCATCATAAATACACTTCCCTGCATTTATTTCTAAGTGAATTTTCTACAGGCGGAAAAAAAAATAATTAAATCGTGGGCACGCGTTTAGTGCTTCCCCCTTGTCACTCAGACATGTGCGGCTTAACGAGACCAGGGAGGAGGGGGAAGGAAACAGACACAATGGACCAACCACACTACAGTTGCTTTTTTGTATGTGTTTATCATCTTGTGGGGACGGCACCAAGTACAATCTCATACGTATCCACACAAATGCAGTAAACTCCCAAATCGTTCGTGGCAGGTTCCCTTACCGCTGAATCCATTCTTGAATTATCCTTTCTGTCGAGATGAACATGAGTCGTTATCTGCCGAACCAGGTGTTATTCCAAAATGGGCAGAAATAAAAATGGGGCATTAACCCTTGTTTGGTTAAAAAGCAGGACGAGGCCAATCAACGTAAAAATTGTGAAATTCAACACAATACCAATGAACTTGGAAAAAAATATATAAACCTTTACTTTTTGGTGTCCTGTATACGTATATACATATTATGTATATTTATTTACTTATGCACGTACGTTACGTCCCTGTGCCGGATTTACGTCAGCACAAAAGCAGCGCTTTTCATATTTTCATGTGCTTATTTTTTTTGCCCATTGTTAGCGGTGCATAGTCGGAGCAATAACCCACGCGCTTACGTCGAGTTACCGCACAAGTTGCGACATGTCCGCCTTTGCAGTTCGTAGGTGAAGCATATCTGAACGATTTGCTGCGCCCAAGGGGGAAAGCAAAGAAGCGGCAGATTTGCCTTTTCAAAAATTAGCTGCCCTCACGTCGCTGCATTTATTGTGGAAATTGTTGTTCCTGTTGTAGGGCATGGTTAACGACAAGATGGGAGGGGGTGCACATGAATATATGTACATATGCACGTATGTTCTTTTTTGTCTTCTTCTTCATTTTAGTCCCCAAGAAATGAACCTCCCCACATGCGGTATGCCAACAGATCCGTAGTAACACATTACCCCCGTTAGCAGCCTCTTCTATGTGGCCAAATTGGATAAAATAGCTTTTTTTTCTTATTTTTGTCACCACGTTTGCGAGCATTTCTACCGTTGCCATCATTTTGGCGATGTTTAATATCGCTGGGGAGGATAAAACATTGGGACATATTCGATTATCCCGAACGGACATTTTAACGTTAAAAGATTTTACTCCATAGGCGTTTTTCGCAAAAGGAGGGGCACAACTTTTGGGAGGGGAAAGCTCCAAGGAGAACTGCTTTGGAGTAAAACACACCTTCGAGGTTGTAGCACATATGCGCATTTATTTACCAAACTGTTTGCCTTTTTTTTTTCTCCTTTTATTTCCTTTTTTCTCCTTTGTACACACTTATGCTGCATCCCGGTTGGGTAAATAAGGTCATTATTTTGAAAAAAGGGACTGGGAACATCCCAAAGTGACGATGCGTGAAAGTTCGTTTAAATGGTATCTCCTCAGGCGTTAAGGTGACACCACGAGTTCGGTAATTCATCTTTCTATTCGTAAAACGTTGTCAATAAAAGGGTTCGCGTTTTATGCATACATAACAATAAGTTGTTAGGTCTTTCCTGGAACTATTTCCTCTTTCGAGAAGACGCCAAACG